ACAACCACCACAACCACCACAACCACCACAACCACCACAACCACCACAACCACCACCGTCACCTTGGCGACGATGTCTCTGTGACCGTGGCTGGCTGCCAGGTGGAGAGGAGCGTCGTCGCCACGATTCATCACGTTAATCCGTGCTCCACGCATCACCAACATCTCCACCACCACCACAACCACCACCACCACCACAACCACAACCACCACCGTCACCACCACCACCACCACCGTCACCTTGGCCACGATGTCTCTGTGACCGTGGCTGGCTGCCAGGTGGAGAGGAGCGTCGTCGCCACGATTCATCACGTTAATCCGTGCTCCACGCATCACCAACATCTCCACCACCACCACAACCACCACCACCACCGTCACCACCACCACCGTCACCACCACCGTCACCACCACCACCGTCACCTTGGCCACGATGTCTCTGTGCCCGTGGCTGGCTGCCAGGTGGAGAGGAGCGTCGTCGCCACGATCCATCACGTTAATCCGTGCTCCACACATCACCAACATCTCCACCACCACCACAACCACCACCACCACCACAACCACCACCACCACAACCACCGTCACCACCACCGTCACCACCACCACCGTCACCGTCACCTTGGCCACGATGTCTCTGTGACCGTGGCTGGCTGCCAGGTGGAGAGGAGCGTCGTCGCCACGATTCATCACGTTAATCCGTGCTCCACGCATCACCAACATCTCCACCACCACCACAACCACCACCACAACCACCACCACCACCACCACCACAACCACCACCGTCACCACCACCACCACCACCACCACCGTCACCTTGGCCACGATGTCTCTGTGCCCGTGGCTGGCTGCCAGGTGGAGAGGAGCGTCGTCGCCACGATTCATCACGTTAATCCGTGCTCCACGCATCACCAACATCTCCACCACGCTCGCTCGCCCCTCCTTGCAGGCCCAGTGCAGGGGGCTAAAGCCGTGGTCATCGCTGGGGGGGGAGGGGGGGGGAGAAAGGTCCCCCAGGGTTGGAGTGTGTCTCCGTGTGTGTGTGTCTGTGTGTGTGTCTGTGTGTCTCTGTGTGTGTCTGGGTGTGTCTCTGTGTGTGTGTGGGTGTCTCTGTGTGTGTGTGTGTGGGTGTGTGTGGGTGTGTCTCTGTGTGTGTGTCTGGGTGTGTCTCTGTCTGTGTGTGTGTGGGTGTCTCTGTCTGTGTGTGTGTGGGTGTGTCTGTGTGTGTGTGTGTGTATGACCTCCTGTCACAGGTGCTGGCTAAAGTGGCCCCTCGGGATAGAGTCATCATGTTGGGTGACTTCAATGCCCGAGTTGGTCATGATACTGGCACCTGGTCTGGAGTGATTGGAGGGCATGGGCCAGATCAGCTCAATAACAACGGTAGGAGGCTGCTAGATTTTTGTGCAGCCCATGGGCTTGTAATTACCAACACGCTGTTCCGGCATCGGCGCATCCACACAACATCATGGATGCATGCCGGGTCCAAGCAAGAACATCTGCTGGACTACATAGTGACGGACCAGCGAATGCGAGCCCATGTCCTTGACACCAGGACCTACCGTGGAGCTGATCTGCCCTCTGACCATCGACTAGTCATCTGTAAGATGCGCCTGCCATTCTTCCACTCCGGTGGTGGGTGTACACCCAGGACCCCATTCCAACCTAAAGTGGCCTGGTCTCAGTTATCTGATGAAAGTTGCAAGCGAGAATTTCATCATCGCTTGCGGCTGGGATTGGCATCGTCCCCGACTCCTCCTGATGTCGAGGGTAAATGGGCGAGGTTTAGGACTGTGACTCATGCAGCTGCAATGGCTGCTTTGGGTACGCGGTCCAGACCTCCCCAGACACCCTGGATGACAGAGGAGTTGTTCACGATGGTTGAGAAAAAGCGACAGGCCCACTGTCATCGGCTACAGAATCCCACATCAGAGAATGAGGAGGCTTACCGCAGCCTTCGCTCGGAGGTTCGGAGAGCCGTGAGGCGCTGCAAGGATGGGTGGTGGTCGCGGGTTGCTGAGGAGATGGAGTCTGCCTCAGTGACCCGTGATCACAAATCTCTATTTAACTCCATCAAAAAAGTAACCTGCAGCGCCACACCTATTACCATCATTAGGGGAAAAAACGGTGATCCAATTTCTGACCCCCAGGAACAGGTTCGCAGATTTGCTGAGCATTTCTGTGAGGTCCTGGGGGAGGGAAAATCCCTCAGCCAGGAAAACATCGCGGCACAAAGTGAGGATGACCCTGCTGAGGCTGCGGTGCCTCAAATATTGGATGAAGTCACCCCCTGTGAGTGGCTGGCTGAGGTGCCATCTGCTGAGGAAGTATTGAAGGCGATCCGGAGTCTGAGACCAGGAAAGGCAGCGGGCAGAGATGATCTCCCAAGCGAAATGCTGAGGGAGGGTGGCGTTTGTGCACAGACTGCCCTATATGACATCATAACAACAGTCTGGACCACTGGACGGGTTCCGCAGGATTGGAAGGATGCCCTGGTGGTCCCCCTTTTTAAGAAGGGGGACCGCACAGACTGTAACAACTACAGGGGCATCTCACTCCTCAGTGTGCCGGGAAAGGTCCTGGCAAGGATTATTCAGCATCGCCTTGCCAGGCACGCTGAGGAGAGGCTTGCGGAGCCCCAATGCGGTTTCAGGAAAGGGCGGTCCTGCACAGATGCCATATTTTCTGTCCGTCTGCTACAGCAGAGGTGTAGGGAATTCCAACAAGACCTACATCTCTGCTTTATTGACCTGGTCAAGGCCTATGATACCATCAGTAGGCCTGGGCTCTGGGTCGTTCTTCGTGCTTTTGGAGTACCTGACCCTCTGCTCACGATCATTAAGGACCTTCATGATGGTGAGCGGGCCCGGGTAAAACTACGTGGCCGGGAGTCAGAGCCATTCCCTGTACACCTTGGGGTGCGACAGGGATGTCCTTTGGCTCCCACATTATTTAACATCTATTTTGACCACGTAGTTCGTGAAGCCTTCAATAGCTGTACCGGGGGAATCTCCATATGGTACAGATATAATGGGAGGCTAATCGATGCCCGGGTGCGGTCAAGGGATGGCTCCCTATTGCTCAACCACGTTATGTATGCTGATGACTTGGTAATAGCTGCTCAGTCAGAGGAGGAGTTGGAGACGCTGCTGCTGAGACTGGAGCATGCCACTAAGAGGTGGGGCCTTACCATCAGCCCCACCAAAACTAAGCACCTGCCTGGGTATTTTGTACCATCGGACACTCCACCACCACAACTCCCAATCGGTGATGGGGCAGTTGTGGAGAGAGTGGAGAGTTTCCCATACCTGGGCAGTGTGCTTATGACTGGCTCCAGTTTAACAGCAGAGGTCTCACTCCGAATCAGTCGAGCGGCAATATCTTTTCATCGGTTGCGTAACGCTGTGTGGAAGCTACCTGGTCTGTCGCTCCGCACTAAGCTTCAGGTCTTCTCGGCCACGGTCATTCCCTCCCTTCTCTATGCTTGCGAAACGTGGACCCCCCGAATGGAACATCTTCGCCGGTTAGAAACATTTAGGCTGGCCTGCCTACGATCCATCCTGGGTTTAACCAGACTGGATTGTGTGAGGAGCTCACAAATCCTTGAAAGATCTGGGCAGGGTCCCATCGGTGAGCTCCTCCGGCAGGCAAGGCTGCGATGGCTGGGTCATGTAGCCCGCATGCCCGGCCACCGCATGCCGAAACAGCTTTTGTTTGGCCGGATTGAGGGGGCTAAGCGGGCGCGGCACGGGCTAGAGAAGAGATGGAGTGATGTGGTACAGGAGGACGTGGAGCTGAGTGGACTTGCCGATGACTGGTACCAGCGGTGTCAAGATCGGCCTCTGTGGAGGAGGCTCGTGAAGGATGCTACTGGGCAGTTGGAGGCAGTCGCCCTCCAACAACAACGGAGGGCGGAGGAGCGACGCTCACAACAGCGAGCGGAGCGCCGGGTGGCTAAAGCACAGCAGGTTGGCACAGTAGGGGGCACAGGTGGTGCATCAGCCAGTCATCTCAGTCAGTCGACCCGTGGCACCTGGGTCTGCCCCGTGACCTCCTGCCAGCGGGCGTTCGACACTTCACGTGGCCTCAGGGTGCACATAGCCTGGCACAAGCGTCGTGGTGACGTCACCGCCACTTAGTGGCGAATGGCGGTTGTTGTTGTTGTTGTTGTGTGTGTGTGGGTGTGTGTGTGTGGGTGTGTGTGTGTCTCTGTGTGTGTGTGTCTCTGTGTGTGTGTGTCTCTGTGTGTGTGTGTCTCTGTGTGTGTGTGTCTCTGTGTGTGTGTGTCTCTGTGTGTGTGGGTGTCTCTGTGGGTGTGTGTGTGTCTGTGTGTGTGTGTGGGTGGGTGTGTGTCTGTGTCTGTGTGGGTGTGTGTAGGTGTGTGTCTGTGTGTGTGTGGGTCTGTGTCTGTGTGTGTGTGTGTGTGTCTCTGTGTGTGTGTGTGTGTGTCTCTGTGTGTGTGTGTGAGTGTCTCTGTGTGTGTGTGAGTGTCTCTGTGTGTGTCTGTGTGTGTGTGTGTGTGTCTCTGTGTGTGTGTGTGGGTGTCTGTGTGTGTGTGTGGGTGTCTGTGTGTGAGTGTCTCTGTGTGTGTGTGTGTGAGTGTCTCTGTGTGTGTGTGTGAGTGTCTCTCTGTGTGTGTGGGTGTCTCTGTCTCTGTGTGTGTGTGGGTGTCTCTGTCTCTGTGTGTGGGTGTGTCTCTGTGTCTGTGTGTGTGGGCGTGTCTCTGTGTGTGCGTCTCTGTGTGTGTGGGTGTGTCTCTGTGTGTGGGCGTGTCTCTCTGTGTGTGGGCGTGTCTCTCTGTGTGTGGGTGTGTCTTTCTGTGTGTGTGGGTGTGTCTCTGTGTGTGTGGGTGTGTCTCTCTGTGTGTGTGGGTGTGTCTCTCTGTGTGTGTGGGTGTGTCTCTCTGTGTGTGTGTGTGGGTGTGTCTCTCTGTGTGTGTGTGTCTCTCTGTGTGTGTGGGTGTGTCTCTCTGTGTGTGTGGGTGTGTCTCTGTGTGTGTGTGGGTGTGTCTCTCTGTGTGTGTGGGTGTGTCTCTCTGTGTGTGTGGGTGTGTCTCTCTGTGGGTGTGTCTCTGTGTGTGTGGGTGTGTCTCTGTGTGTGTGGGTGTGTCTCTCTGTGTGGGTGTGTCTCTCTGTGTGGGTGTGTCTCTCTGTGTGGGTGTGTCTCTCTGTGTGTGTGTGTCTCTGTGTGTGTGTGGGTGTGTCTCTGTGTGTGTGGGTGTGTCTCTGTGTGTGTGGGTGTGTCTCTGTGTGTGTGGGTGTGTCTCTCTGTGTGGGTGTGTCTCTCTGTGTGGGTGTGTCTCTCTGCGTGGGTGTGTCTCTCTGTGTGGGTGTGTCTCTCTGTGTGTGTGTGTCTCTGTGTGTGTGTGGGTGTGTCTCTGTGTGTGTGGGTGTGTCTCTGTGTGTGTGGGTGTGTCTCTCTGTGTGGGTGTGTCTCTCTGCGTGGGTGTGTCTCTGCGTGTGTGAGTGTGTCTCTGCGTGTGGGCGTGTGTCTCTTTTTGTGGGCGTCTCTCTTTTTGTGGGCGTGTCACTGTTTATGGGCGTGTCTCTGTTTGTGGGCGTGTCTCTGTTTGTGGGCGTGTCTCTGTTTGTGGGCGTGTCTCTGTTTGTGGGCGTGTCTCTGTTTGTGGGCGTGTCTCTGTTTGTGGGCGTGTCTCTGTTTGTGGGCGTGTCTCTGTTTGTGGGCGTGTCTCTGTTTGTGGGCGTGTCTCTGTTTGTGGGCGTGTCTCTGTTTGTGGGCGTGTCTCTGTTTGTGGGCGTGTCTCTGTTTGTGGGCGTGTCTCTGTTTGTGGGCGTGTCTCTGTTTGTGGGCGTGTCTCTGTTTGTGGGCGTGTCTCTGTTTGTGGGCGTGTCTCTGTTTGTGGGCGTGTCTCTGTTTGTGGGCGTGTCTCTGTTTGTGGGCGTGTCTCTGTTTGTGGGCGTGTCTCTGTTTGTGGGCGTGTCTCTGTTTGTGGGCGTGTCTCTGTTTGTGGGCGTGTCTCTGTTTGTGGGCGTGTCTCTGTTTGTGGGCGTGTCTCTGTTTGTGGGCGTGTCTCTGTTTGTGGGCGTGTCTTTGTGGGCGTGTCTTTGTGGGCGTGTCTCTGTGGGCGTGTCTCTGTGGGCGTGTCTCTGTGGGCGTGTCTCTGTGGGCGTGTCTCTGTGGGCGTGTCTCTGTGGGCGTGTCTCTGTGGGCGTGTCTCTGTGGGCGTGTCTCTGTGGGCGTGTCTCTGTGGGCGTGTCTCTGTGGGCGTGTCTCTGTGGGCGTGTCTCTGTGGGCGTGTCTCTGTTTGTGGGCGTGTCTCTGTTTGTGGGCGTGTCTCTGTTTGTGGGCGTGTCTCTGTTTGTGGGCGTGTCTCTGTTTGTGGGCGTGTCTCTGTTTGTGGGCGTGTCTCTGTTTGTGGGCGTGTCTCTGTTTGTGGGCGTGTCTCTGTTTGTGGGCGTGTCTCTGTTTGTGGGCGTGTCTCTGTTTGTGGGCGTGTCTCTGTTTGTGGGCGTGTCTCTGTTTGTGGGCGTGTCTCTGTTTGTGGGCGTGTCTCTGTTTGTGGGCGTGTCTCTGTTTGTGGGCGTGTCTCTGTTTGTGGGCGTGTCTCTGTTTGTGGGCGTGTCTCTGTTTGTGGGCGTGTCTCTGTTTGTGGGCGTGTCTCTGTTTGTGGGCGTGTCTCTGTTTGTGGGCGTGTCTCTCTATTTGTGGGCGTGTCTCTCTATTTGTGGGCGTGTCTCTCTATTTGTGGGCGTGTCTCTATTTCTGGGCGTGTCTCTATTTCTGGGCGTGTCTCTCTATTTGTGGGCGTGTCTCTCTATTTGTGGGCGTGTCTCTATTTCTGGGCGTGTCTCTATTTCTGGGCGTGTCTCTATTTCTGGGCGTGTCTCTATTTCTGGGCATCTCTCTGTGTGTGGGCGTGTCTCTATTTCTGGGTGTGTCTCTCCCTAGGTGTGGGCGTGTCTCTGTTTGTGGGCGTGTCTCTGTGGGCGTGTCTCTGTTTGTGGGCGTCTCTCTATTTGTGGGCGTGTCTCTATTTCTGGGCGTCTCTCTGTGTGTGGGCGTGTCTCTCTATTTCTGGGTGTGTCTCTCCCTAGGTGTGGGTGTGTCTCTCCCTAGGTGTGGGCGTGTCTCTCTATTTATGGGTGTCTCTCTGTGTGGGCGTGTCTCTCTATTTGTGGGCGTGTCTCTATTTCTGGGTGTGTCTCTGTGTGTGGGCATGTCTCTCTATTTGTGGGCGTGTCTCTCCCTAGGTGTGGGTGTGTCTCTCCCTAGGTGTGGGTGTGTCTCTCCCTAGGTGTGGGTGTGTCTCTCCCTAGGTGTGGGCGTGTCTCTCCCTAGGTGTGGACGTGTCTCTCCCTAGGTGTGGGCGGTCTCTCTATTTGTGGGTGTGTCTCTCACTAGGTGTGGGTGTGTCTCTCCCTAGGTGTGGGCGTGTCTCTGTTTGTGGGCGTGTCTCTGTTTGTGGGCGTGTCTCTGTTTGTGGGCGTGTCTCTGTTTGTGGGCGTGTCTCTGTTTGTGGGCGTGTCTCTGTTTGTGGGCGTGTCTCTGTTTGTGGGCGTGTCTCTGTTTGTGGGCGTGTCTCTGTTTGTAGGCATGTCTGTTTGTGGGCGTGTCTCTGTTTGTGGGCGTGTCTCTGTTTGTGGGCGTGTCTCTCTATTTGTGGGCATGTCTCTCTATTCGTGGGCGTCTCTCTATTTGTGGGCGTCTCTATTTGTGGGCGTGTCTCTATTTCTGGGCGTCTCTCTGTGTGTGGGCGTGTCTCTCTATTTCTGGGTGTGTCTCTCCCTAGGTGTGGGTGTGTCTCTCCCTAGGTGTGGGCGTGTCTCTCTATGGGTGTCTCTCTGTGTGGGCGTCTCTCTATTTGTGGGCGTGTCTCTCTATTTCTGGGTGTGTCTCTCCCTAGGTGTGGGTGTGTCTCTCCCTAGGTGTGGGCGTGTCTCTCTATTTATGGGTGTCTCTCTGTGTGGGCGTGTCTCTATTTCTGGGCGTGTCTCTATTTCTGGGTGTGTCTCTGTGTGTGGGCGTGTCTCTCTATTTGTGGGTGTGTCTCTCCATAGGTGTGGGCGTGTCTCTCCCTAGGTGTGGGCGTGTCTCTCCCTAGGTGTGGGCGTGTCTCTCCCTAGGTGTGGGCGTGTCTCTCCCTAGGTGTGGGCGTGTCTCTCTATTTGTGGGTGTGTCTCTCACTAGGTGTGGGTGTGTCTCTCCCTAGGTGTGGGCGTGTCTCTGTTTGTGGGCATGTCTGTTTGTGGGAGTGTCTCTGTTTGTGGGCGTCTCTCTATTTGTGGGCGTGTCTCTGTGTGTGGGCGTGTCTCTCTATTTCTGGGTGTGTCTCTCCCTAGGTGTGGGTGTGTCTCTCTATTTGTGGGTGTGTCTCTCCCTAGGTGTGGGTGTATCTCTCCCTAGGTGTGGGTGTGTCTCTCCCTAGGTGTGGGCGTGTCTCTCCCTAGGTGTGGGCGTGTCTCTGTGTGTGGGCGTGTCTTTCCCTAGGTGTGGGTGTGTCTCTCCCTAGGAGTGGGCGTGTCTCTCTATTTGTGGGCGTGTCTCTCCCTAGGTGTGGGCGTGTCTCTCTGTGTGTGGGCGTGTCTCTCCCTAGGTGTGGGCTTGTCTCTCTATTTGTGGGCGTGTCTCTCTATTTGTGGGCGTGTCGGAACTGACCCCTGGTTGAGGTCGTTCTCCGTGTTGTCCAACCACAGGCGGACGGCCACCGCATTGCCCTCTCGGCACTGCGCAAAGATGTCGTCCATCACGCTGGCGGGCGGAGAGAGGGGGGGAGTGACAGTGATTGTGGTAGTGGTGGTGAAGGTGGTGGTGATTGTGGTGGTGGTGGTGACAGTGATTGTGGTGGTGTTGGTGGTGACAGTGATTGTGGTGTTGGTGGTGAAGGTGGTGGTGACAGCGATTGTGGTGTTGGTGGTGACAGTGATTGTGGTGTTGGTGGTGTTGGTGGTGGGGTTGGTGGTGGGGTTGGTGGTGAAGGTGGTGGTGGTGTTGGTGGTGACAGTAATTGTGGTGTTGGTGGTGACAGTGATTGTGGTGGTGGTGACAGTGATTGTGGTGTTGGTGGTGGTGTTGTTGGTGGTGACGGAGGTGACGGAGGTGGTGGTTGTGTTGGTGGTGACGGTGGTGTTGGTGGTGAAGGTGGTGGTGGTGGTGTTGGTTAAGGTGGTGTTGGTGGTGACGTTGGTTGTGAAGGTGGTTGTGGTGGTGACGGTGGTGGTGTTGGTGGTGACGGTGGTTTTGGTGGTGAAGGTGGTGTTGGTGGTTGTGGTGATAGTGGTGTTAGTGGTGATGGTGCTTGTGGTGGTGGTGGAGGGGGGTTACACAACAAGGAAGAACAATCATGCACACGCAAGGACTCGGTAATGCGCCTGTGGCGTGCTCATTTCTGCGTCTTTGTCTGCGAGTGGTGGTAGTGATGACGGTGGTGGTGTTGGTGGTGATGGTGGTGGTGGTGATGATGGTGGTGGTGTTGGTGGTGATGGTGGTGGTGGTGATGACGGTGGTGGTGTTGGTGGTGATGGTGGTGGTGATGACGGTGGTGGTGTTGGTGGTGAAGGTGGTGGTGGTGAAGGTGGTGGTGATGATGGTGGTGGTGATGACGGTGGTGGTGTTGGTGGTGATGGTGGTGGTGATGACGGTGGTGGGGTTGGTGGTGAAGTTGGTGGTGGTGAAGATGGTGGTGATGATGGTGGTGGTGATGACCGTGGTGGTGTTGGTGGTGAAGGTGGTGGTGATGATGGTGGTGGTGATGACGGTGGTGGTGTTGGTAGTGAAGGTGGTGGTGGTGATGACGGTGGTGGTGGTGACGGTGGTGAAGGTGGTGGTGGTGATGATGGTGATGGTGGTGAAGGTGGCGGTGATGATGGTGGTGGTGGTGTTGGTGGTGATGCTGCTGCTGGTGATGATGCTGCTGCTGCTGGTGGTGATGCTGCTGCTGGTGATGATGCTGCTGCTGGTGATGGTGATGCTGCTGCTGGTGGTGATGCTGCTGCTGGTGATGCTGCTGCTGCTGCTGCTATTACTACTGCAGCTATTGCTGCTGATGCCGCTGCTGCTGCTGCTGCCGATGCTGCTGCTCCTGCTGCTGCTTTAGGGTTTTCACACATTCCTACAATGGCACGCCACCACCTCCCCCACCCCCACCATCGCACCCGGCTCTCTACACCCACACCCCCCTCTCGTCTCTCCAAATAAAGTCTCAAAAGTCTCGCAAGGCCCTGCCCACACACACGCACACGTACTCATGTACACACACACACACGCACTCACGTACACACACACACTCACGTACACACACACACACTCACGTACACACACACACACTCACTCACGTACACACACGCACACACGCACTCACGTACACACACACACACACGCACTCACGTACACACACACTCACGTACACACACACACTCACGCACTCACGTACACACACACACTCACGCACTCACGTACACACACACACACTCACGTACTCACGTACACACACACGCACTCACGTACACACACACGCACTCACGTACACACACACGCACTCACTCACTCACGTACACGCACACGCACTCACGTACACACACACACTCACTCACGTACACACACACTCACGTACACACACACGCACTCACGTACACACACGCACGCACTCACGTACACACGCACTCACGTACACACACACACTCACTCACGTACACGCACACGCACTCACTCACGTACACACACACGCACTCACTCACGTACACACACACGCACTCACGTACACGCACACGCACTCACGTACACACACACACGCACTCACTCACGTACACGCGCACACTCACTCACGTACACACACACACTCACTCACGTACACACACACACACTCACTCACGTACACGCACACGCACTCACTCACGTACACACACACACGCACTCACTCACGTACACACACACGCACTCACGTACACACACACGCACTCACGTACACACACACGCACTCACGTACACACACACGCACTCACGTACACACACACGCACTCACGTACACACACACGCACTCACATACACACACACGCACTCACGTACACACACACGCACTCACGTACACACACACACGCACTCACGTACACACACACGCACGCACTCACACACACGCACGCACTCACGTACACACACACGCACTCACGTACACACACACGCACTCACGTACACACACACACGCACTCACTCACGTACACACACACACGCACGCACTCACGTACACACGCACTCACGTACACACACACACGCACTCACGTACACACACACGCACTCACGTACGCACTCACGTACACACGCACTCACGTACGCACTCACACACACGCACTCACGTACACACGCACTCACGTACACACACACACACGCACTCACGTACACACACGCACTCACGTACACACACTCACGTACTCACGTACACACACTCACGTACTCACGTACACACACTCACGTACTCACGTACACACACTCACGTACTCACGTACACACACTCACGTACTCACGTACACACACACTCACGTACTCACGTACACACACTCACGTACTCACGTACACACACACTGACGTACTCACGTACACACACACTGACGTACTCACGTACACACACACACGTACTCACGTACACACACACACGTACTCACGTACACACACACACGTACTCACGTACACACACACACGTACTCACGTACACACACACACGTACTCACGTACACACACACACGTACTCACGTACACACACACACGTACTCACGTACACACACACTCACGTACTCACGTACACACACACTCACGTACACACACACACACACTCACGTACTCACGTACACACACACACTCACGTACTCACGTACACACACACACTCACATACTCACGTACACACACACACTCACGTACTCACGTACACACACACACTCACGTACTCACGTACACACACACACACACTCACGTACTCACGTACACACACACACACTCACGTACTCACGTACACACACACACACTCACGTACTCACGTACACACACACACTCACGTACTCACGTACACACACACACTCACGTACTCACGTACACACACACACTCACGTACTCACGTACACACACACACACTCACGTACTCACGTACACACACACACTCACGTACTCACGTACACACACACACTCACGTACTCACGTACACACACACACACACTCACGTACTCAAGTACACACTCACGTACTCACGTACACACACACACTCACGTACTCACGTACACACACACACTCACGTACTCACGTACACACACACACTCACGTACTCACGTACACACACACACGTACACACACACACTCACGTACTCACGTGCAACAACAACCACCATTCGCCACTAAGTGGCGGTGACGTCACCACGACGCTTGTGCCAGGCTATGTGCACCCTGAGGCCACGTGAAGTGTCGAACGCCCGCTGGCAGGAGGTCACGGGGCAGACCCAGGTGCCACGGGTCGACTGACTGAGATGACTGGCTGATGCACCACCTGTGCCCCCTACTGTGCCAACTTGCTGTGCTTTAGCCACCCGGCGCTCCGCTCGTTGTTGTGAGCGTCGCTCCTCCGCCCTCTGTTGTTGTTGGAGGGCGACTGCCTCCAACTGCCCAGTAGCATCCTTCACGAGCCTCCTCCACAGAGGCCGATCTTGACACCGCTGGTACCGGTCATCGGCAAGTCCACTCAGCTCCACGTCCTCCTGTACCACATCACTCCATCTCTTCTCTAGCCCGTGCCGTGCCTGTTTAGTGCCCCTCAATCCGGCCGAACAAAAGCTGTTTCGGCATGCGGTGGCTGGGCATGCGGGCTACATGACCCAGCCATCGCAGCCTTGCCTGCCTGAGGAGCTCACCGATGGGACCTTGCCCAGATCTTTCAAGGATTTGTGAGCTCCTCACACAATCCAGTCTGGTTAAACCCAGGATGGATCGTAGGCAGGCTAGCCTAAATGTTTCTAACCGGCGAAGATGTTCCATTAGGGGGGTCCACGTTTCGCAAGCGTAGAAAAGGGAGGGAATGACCGTGGCCGAGAAGACCTGAAGCTTAGTGCGGGGCGACAGACCAGGTAGCTTCCACACAGCGTTACGCAACCGATGAAAAGATATTGCCGCTCGACTGATTCGGAGTGAGACCTCTGCTGTTAAACTGGAGCGGGTCATAAGCACACTGCCCAGGTATGGGAAACTCTCCAATCTCTCCACAACTGCCCCATCACCGATTGGGAGTTGTGGGGGTGGAGTGTCCGATGGTACAAAATACCCAGGCAGGCGCTTAGTTTTGGTGGGGCTGATGGTAAGGCCCCATCTCTTAGTGGCACGCTCCAGTCTCAGCAGCAGCGTCTCTAACTCCTCCTCTGAATGAGCAGCTATTACCAAGTCTGGCAAAACAACCCCCTACCTCCTCGCGGTGCCGGACGGGCAACTCTGTCGTGGAAAGTGCTGTGGGGAGAGGGCCAATTCCGATTGGCCCTCTCCCCTCATGGATGCCTGTGTCCACCACAGTGGCTAAACGGGGGCTCTGGACGGGTGCGAGGGGCTGGTAACCCCTCCACCTTCAATTCATTACCACTAAACCACGACTTAAATATACTCACGTACACGCACGCACTCACGCACACACTCACGTACACACACACACTCACGTACACGCACACACACAGTCACGTATGCACACACATAGTCACGTACACACACACACGCTGACACTTACACACACGTGCACACACTCACTAACTCATACACACGTACACACACTCACTAACTCATACACACGTACACACACACTCACGTACACACACACACAAAGATCCCCCATATAGCCTTAACAGACTGTAGGGGCAAGTGCTGTTAGCGAACAGCACCTATGAAGGCCGGAACGGTACACGAGGGGGTGGGTGGCCAGCACCACGCCCGACCGCCTTTGTCTCCCTAGTGGCAATGTTTACTACACACGGCACCAGGTACTCATTTGAGGCTGAGTCGACACTGACACACACAGACTCACACACTGACACACACACACTGACACAACCGCCATTCGTCACTAAGTGGCGGTGACATCACCACGACGCTTGTGCCAGGCCAGGTGCACCCTGAGGCCACGTGAAGTGTCGAACGCCCGCTGGCAGGAGGTCACGGGGCAGACCCAGGTGCCACGGGTCGACTGACTGAGATGACTGGCTGATGCACCACCTGTGCCCCCTACTGTGCCAACCTGCTGTGCTTTAGCCACCCGGCGCTCCGCTCGTTGTTGTGAGCGTCGCTCCTCCGCCCTCCGTTGTTGTTGGAGGGCGACTGCCTCCAACTGCCCAGTAGCATCCTTCACGAGCCTCCTCCACAGAGGCCGATCTTGACACCGCTGGTACCAGTCATCGGCAAGTCCTCCTGTACCACATCACTCCATCTCTTCTCTAGCCCGTGCCGTGCCCGTTTAGTGCCCCTCAATCCGGCCGAACAAAAGCTGTTTCGGCATGCGGTGGCTGGGCATGCGGGCTACATGACCCAGCCAACGCAGCCTTGCCTGCCGGAGGAGCTCACCGATGGGACCGTGCCAAGGATTTGTGAGCTCCTCACACAATCCAGCCTGGTTAAACCCAGGATGGATCCGTAGGCAGGCCAGCCTAAATGTTTCCAACCGGCGACACTGACACACACACACTGACAAAGATCCCCCGTATAGCCTTAACAGACTGTAGGGGCACACACACACTGACACACACACACTGACACACACTGACACACACTGACACACACACTGACACACACACACTGACACACACACACACACACTGACACACACACACACTGACACACACACACACTGACACACACACACACACTGACACACACACACTGACACACACACTGACACACACACTGACACACACACACACACACTGACACACACACTGACACACACACACTGACACACACACACAGACACACACACACTGACACACACACACTGACACACACACACTGACACACACCACCGCTTATAGACCCGCACGTTCACGCGCTCACGCAACCAATTATAGACACAAACAGATAAAGCTCCCCCAGGTAGCCTCTAACAGGACGTAGGGGCAAGTGCTGTCAGCAGCAGCAGCAGTGTCTATGAAGGCTACCGGCACTGTGACACACACAGACAAAGCTACCCCAGGTAGCCTCTAACACGATGTAGGGGCAAGTGCTGTCAGTAGCAGCAGTGTCTATGAAGGCAACCGGCACTGTGACACAGACAAAGCTCCCCCAGGTAGCCTCTAACACGATGTAGGGGCAAGTGCTGTCAGTAGCAGTGTCTATGAAGGATACCGGCACTGTAACACACACAGACAAAGCTACCCCAGGTAGCCTCTAACACGATGTAGGGGCAAGTGCTGTCAGTAGCAGCAGCAGTGTCTATGAAGGCTACCGGCACTGTTACACACACAGACAAAGCTCCCCCAGGTAGCCTCTAACAGGGCTGTAGGGGCAAGTGCTGTCAGTAGCAGCAGCAGCAGTGTCTATGAAGGCTACCGGCACTGTGACACAGACACAGACAAAGCTCCCCCAGGTAGCCTCAAACACGATGTAGGGGCAAGTGCTGTCAGTAGCAGCAGCAGTGTCTATGAAGGCTACCGGCACTGTGACACAGACAGTGGTGGTGATGATGTGACGGTGGTGGTGATGTGACCAGCACCACCCCCACGCCCGGCCGTCTTTGTCTCTCCCCAGAGGCGGCGATGTTTGACTCCACGACACCGCTGCTACGCCAGCGACTCGTTTGAGAAATTCCCTTCGGCTCAAGCCCGCCCGCCCTTACACGCTGGGGAGTCGTGCAACATTCACAACAACCAAACAACAACAACCACAACAACAACAAAACAACAACCAAACAACAACCACAACCAAACAACAACAACAACAACCACAACAACCAAACCACAACAACAACCAAACAATAACAACAACAACCACAACAACCAAACAACAACCAAACAACCACAACAACCAAACAACCACAACAACCAAACAACAACCAAACAACAACACAAACAGCCTTTACCCTCACCTCGCCAACTGCGCTCAACACCACCAACACCACCCACACCACCACCAACACCACCACCACCACCCTCACCACCACCACCCTCACCACCCTCACCACCACCACCCTCAACACCACCAACACCACCACCACCCTCAACACCACCACCACCCTCACCACCACCCTCAACACCACCACCACCACCCTCACCACCACCACCGTCACCACCACCACCGTCACCACCCTCAACACCACCACCCTCAACACCACCACCCTCAACACCACCACCCTCAACACCACCACCCTCAACACCACCACCCTCAACACCACCACCCTCAACACCACCACCCTCAACACCACCACCCTCAACACCACAACCACCACCCTCACCACCACCCTCACCACCACCACCACCGTCACCACCACCACCGTCACCACCACCACCGTCACCACCACCACCGTCACCACCACCACCGTCACCACCACCACCGTCAACACCACCACCGTCAACACCACCCCCACCATCACCACCACCGTCACCACCACCGTCACCACCACCGTCACCACCACCACCGTCACCACCCTCAACACCACAACCACCACCCTCACCACCACCACCCTCACCACCACCACCCCCTCAACCCCATCCAGTGTGGAGAAATTCCGTTACCTTCAAGCCGTGCAACATTCACAACAACCACAACAACTTCCCCCCCATCACCTCAACAAAGACGAGGAGAGAGACAGAGAGTGAGGAGAGAGAGGGGAGAGAGTGAGGAGAGTGAGGAGAGAGAGTGAGGAGAGTGAGGAGAGAGAGTGAGGGGAGTGAGGAGAGAGAGTGAGGGGAGTGAGGAGAGAGAGTGAGGAGAGAGAGTGAGGAGAGTGAGGGGAGAGTGAGGAGAGAGAATGAGGAGAGTGAGGGGAGAGTGAGGAGAGAGTGAGGAGAGAGTGAGGAGAGTGAGGAGAGAGAGTGAGGGGAGTGAGGAGAGAGAGTGAGGAGAGTGAGGGGAGAGTGAGGAGAGAGAATGAGGAGAGTGAGGGGAGAGTGAGGAGAGTGAGGGGAGAGAGAGAGGGGAGAGAGTGAGGAGAGTGAGGACAGTGAGGGGAGTGAGGAGAGAGAGGAGAGTGAGGAGAGAGTGAGGGGAGTGAGTGAGGAGAGAGAGTGAGGGGAGAGTGAGGAGAGAGTGAGGAGAGTGAGGGGAGAGAGTGAGGAGAGAGAGTGAGGAGAGTGAGGGGAGAGTGAGGAGAGTGAGGGGAGAGTGAGGAGAGAGTGAGGAGAGAGAGTGAGGAGAGTGAGGGGAGAGTGAGGAGAGGGGAGAGAGTGAGGAGAGAGAGTGAGGAGAGTGAGGGGAGAGTGAGGAGAGAGAATGAGGAGAGTGAGGAGAGAGAGGGGAGAGTGAGGAGAGTGAGGGGAGAGTGAGGAGAGAGAGGGGAGAGAGTGAGGGGAGAGTGAGGAGAGTGAGGAGAGTGAGGGGAGAGAGGAGAGAGAGTGAGGAGAGAGAGTGAGGGGAGAGAGTGAGGGGAGTGAGGAGAGAGTGAGGAGAGAGAGTGAGGAGAGTGAGGGGAGAGTGAGGAAAGAGTGAGGAGAGAGAGTGAGGGGAGAGTGAGGGGAGAGAGAGGAGAGAGAGGGGAGAGAGTGAGGAGAGTGAGGGGAGAGAGTGAGGACAGTGAGGGGAGTGAGGAGAGAGAGGAGAGTGAGGAGAGAGTGAGGGGAGTGAGTGAGGAGAGAGAGTGAGGGGAGAGTGAGGAGAGAGTGAGGAGAGTGAGGGGAGAGAGTGAGGAGAGAGAGTGAGGAGAGTGAGGGGAGAGTGAGGAGAGTGAGGGGAGAGTGAGGAGAGAGTGAGGAGAGAGAGTGAGGAGAGTGAGGGGAGAGTGAGGAGAGGGGAGAGAGTGAGGAGAGAGAGTGAGGAGAGTGAGGGGAGAGTGAGGAGAGAGTGAGGAGAGGGGAGAAAGTGAGGAGAGAGAGTGAGGAGAGTGATGAGAGAGAGTGAGGAGAGTGAGGGGAGAGAGTGAGGAGAGAGAGTGAGGGGAGAGAGTGAGGGGAGAGTGAGGAGAGTGAGGGGAGAGAGAGGGGAGAGAGTGAGGACAGTGAGGGGAGTGAGGAGAGAGAGGAGAGTGAGGAGAGAGTGAGGGGAGTGAGTGAGGAGAGAGAGTGAGGAGAGAGAGTGAGGAGAGTGAGGGGAGAGTGAGGAGAGAGTGAGGGGAGAGAGTGAGGAGAGAGTGAGGAGAGTGAGGGGAGAGTGAGGAGAGTGAGGGGAGAGAGAGTGAGGAGAGTGAGGGGAGAGTGAGGAGAGGGGAGAGAGTGAGGAGAGAGTGAGGGGAGAGTGAGGAGAGGAGAGTGAGGGGAGAGTGAGGAGAGTGAGGGGAGTGAGGAGAGTGAGGGGAGTGAGGAGAGAGAGAGAGAGGGGAGTGAGGAGAGAGAGAGTGAGGGGAGAGTGAGGGGAGAGAGTGAGGAGGTTTGAGACTCACCTCGTCGTGAACGCTGAGGTCCTCACGAAACTTAAAATCACCACCACCACCGAGAGAGATACAAAGACGGCCGCGCGGGTGGCCTCGCCAAAAAAAAACGACGGAGATTCGTGCAAAGTTTCGCTTCTAGAATTGCAACCGTCCGAGGAATTTGAAATTTGCAACTTTTTAAACGAATTTTTAGTTTTAGTTTTTTTAAAGTCGGCGCTGAGTGAGGGGCGCGGTCGCCTGAGGCCCTGCGGAGGCTTTTTCAGTGTGGAATGCGCCACGCCCACTGGAAATCACACAGCGGATAGGGATAGGAGGGTTGCAATTGGTAATGCGGATGGGTAGGGGCGAGACGAAGGGTTGTAATTCGTGGTGCGGATGGGTATAGGGCGAGACCGGGAGGGGGGGTTGTAATTGGTGTTGCGGATAAGTATAACGGTCTCAGGAATAGTTGTAATTGGTAGTGCGTATAGGTATGCGGTGAGATGGGGGTTGTAATTGGTAGTGTGGATGGGTATGGGGCGAGACGAGGGGTTGTAATTGGTGTTGCGGATAAGTATAACGGTCTCAGGAACAGTTGTAATTGGTAGTGCGGATAGGTATGCGGCGAGATGAGGGTTGTAATTGGTAGTGTGGATGGGTATGGGGCGAGACGAGGGGTTGTAATTGGTGTTGCGGATAAGTATAACGTTCTCAGGAACAGTTGTAATTGGTAGTACGGATAGGTATGCGGCGAGATGGGGGTTATAATTGGTAGTGTGGATGGGTATGGGGCGAGACGAGGGGTTGTAATTGGTCTTGCGGATAAGTATAACGGTCTCAGGAACAGTTGTAATTGGTAGTGCGGATAGGTATGCGGCGAGATGAGGGTTGTAATTGGTAGTGTGGATGGGTATGGGGCGAGACGAGGGGTTGTAATTGGTGTTGCGGATAAGTATAACGTTCTCAGGAATAGTTGTAATTGGTAGTGCGGATAGGTATGCGGTGAGATGGGGGTTGTAATTGGTAGTGTGGATGGGTATGGGGCGAGACGAGGGGTTGTAATTGGTGTTGCGGATAAGTATAACGTTCTCAGGAACAGTTGTAATTGGTAGTACGGATAGGTATGCGGCGAGATGGGGGTTATAATTGGTAGTGTGGATGGGTATGGGGCGAGACGAGGGGTTGTAATTGGTCTTGCGGATAAGTATAACGGTCTCAGGAACAGTTGTAATTGGTAGTGCGGATAGGTATGCGGCGAGATGAGGGTTGTAATTGGTAGTGTGGATGGGTATGGGGCGAGACGAGGGGTTGTAATTGGTGTTGCGGATAAGTATAACGTTCTCAGGAATAGTTGTAATTGGTAGTGCGGATAGGTATGCGGTGAGATGGGGGTTGTAATTGGTAGTGTGGATGGGTATGGGGCGAGACGAGGGGTTGTAATTGGTGTTGCGGATAAGTATAACGGTCTCGGGAAGTTGTAATTGGTAGTACGGATAGGTATGCGGCGAAACGGAGGATTGTAATTCGTAGTGCAAATGGGTATAGGGCGAGACGAGGGGTTGTAATTGGTGTTGCGGATAAGTATAACGGTCTCAGGAACAGTTATAATTGGTAGTGCGGATAGGTATGCGGCGAGATAGGGGTTGTAATTGGTAGTGTGGATGGGTATGGGGCGAGACGGAGAGTTGTAATTCGTAGTGCGGATGGGTATGGGGCGAGACGGCGGGTTGTAATTGGTAGTGTAGATGAGTATGGGGCGAAATTAGCTGTTGTAATTGGTAGTGGGAATAGGTATGGGGCGAGACGAGTGGTTGTAATCGGTAGTGTGGATAGGTATGGGCGAGATGGGGTTTTTTTCAGTTTTCAGTTTCATGTATTAGGTATAGCCCTGTGAGCCATTCGGCTCTTGAATCGGGTGCAACCGCAACAAACAACAAAAACAAAAACATGAACAAGAAAACATCTTAAAGTGACTTTGTGTGACTGCGCAAACAGAAACATCCAGGAAAAAAACCCATCAAAATATTCCTGAATTAGCACCGTGTACCCCACCAACGCTGTGTGCAACAATCCCAGTGGGATGCAAGTCAAATAACAACAACAACCACAAGACAACTAAGGTTAAGGCCATCAGTCTAACTCCGTACTACAACAACAAAAAAACCATGGCCAAACCAAAATTTGTTTTCTAAATCACCTAAATAAAGCCATAAAAGCAATGTAACAGTGATCATAGGGGCTGTGACCGAAATTTCACAATAAACGATGGGTATGGGGCGAGATGGGGGGTTGTAGTTGGTAGTACGGATAGGTACGGACGAGATGGGGGTTGTAATTGATAGTACGGTAGGGTTTCGGGCGAGATTTGGGGTTGTAATTGGTAGTTGGGATAGGTATGAGGCGATATTTGGGGGTTGTAATTGGTAGTGCAGATGGGTATGGGGCGAGATTGGGGGTTGTAATTGGAAGCAGGGATAGGTCTGGGGCGATATTTGGGGGTTGTAATTGGTAGTGTAGATGGGTATGGGGCGAGCTTGGGGGTTGTAATTGGTAGTACGGATAGTTATGGGCGAGATTGGGGGTTGTAATTGGGAGTGCGGATAAGTATAATGGTCTCAGGAGCAGTTGTAATTGGTAGTGCGGATAGGTATGCGGCGAGATGGGGGTTGCAATTGGTAGTGTGGATGGGTATGCGGCGATTGTGGTGTTTGTAATTGGTAGTGTAGATGGGTATGGGGCGATCAGGGTGATTGTGATTAGCGTGTGTGTTGGAGAGCAAATCAACAACATTTACAATCTGTGTGTAATCAACGCCCGCGTGGGATGTCACAATGGGCGACGTCACAATTGGCGACGTCAGAATGGGCGACGTCACAATCGGCGACGTCACAAACTTCAACGGCACGGAAGTATTTATATATTTATTATTTGGTGGTGGGGGTGGAATATTTACCAACAACAAAAAAACAGGCCAGTTTTAATCGCATTGCCAAAGGTTCGTAATAAAACTAAACTTTTAAACAAATAATATTTTTTACGTTTTTACAATTTTAATTAAATAAATATGTTGAAACTTCCGGCGGAAACACGTCACGATCGCTGGCGTTTGCTCGACACTCCGCATCGCCAATCGCCAGCAGCGACGTCACGTCCGGCGACTTGTTACATTTTCGTTTAAAAACGAGCATGGACATTAAAATATACGCCGCATAATTTGCTAACCCTTAGAGATAACAACAACTAAATCTCGCGTCAAAAAAATTGTAATATAAAAAATATTTTAGTATTTAGTTAGTGACGTCACGAGACAGGAACATCCGCCCCCGGACGCCCTCCCCCTGCATGAACGTCACGTCCGGTTCTTTCGGTAAAGTCACCATCACGTAGAAGGGAAGCAATAAAATAATAAAAATATAAAACAATAAAATTCTCACGACGTTTCGACTGCAACACAAGCAATCATTATCAGGCGTGAAAACCACAACAAAAAACATTTGATTAAAAAACACCACTTTTTTCATTTTTTTTGTTTAAAAAAGAGGTTTAAATATAAAAATGTAAAATGCAGAATTTACTTACCCCGAAAGGTAACAAAAACAACTTAAGCAAGCATTAAAAAATATATCTTTTATTTTTTTATTAGTTAGTGACGTCACGTGCCGGAAGCGTCCGCCCCCGGACGCTGTCCACTGCACTGACGTCACATCCGGCAACCTAACAAAATTTAGTTTTTACAATTTTTGTTTAAAAACGAAGCATAAATAATAAAACAGCGCACAATTTTCTTGACTCCCGTTGAGTTAACCTGAAAAATATATATTTTAATTAGTGACGTCACGCGGCAAGAACGTCCGCCCCCCCAGACGCCGTCTGCCGCATCAACGTTACATCCGGCAAACCAAACCAATTTTTTAAAATTATTTTATTAAACCGAGGCACAAGAATAAAACGGCGCATAAATAACAAAACATCAAGTTAATAAAAAACCTACAGCACGCGTCGAAAAACGAACGAACTTAGTTACAAAATGTAAATTAATTTCGCCTTTGACGGAAGTGACGTCTCGGGGCCACTCCCCCTTCCCGCCATTTCGTTCTTCAGCAGTGACCGGGTCCACCTTGCCGCGTTCGGCTTCGCAAGTTCTGAGGAGAAATTTTTGTTTGTTGTTAAAACAAACATTAAATACAAAATTTCGTCGTTAATTGTTGTTTAATTAACAAACACCTCAACAATGCTGCGTCTCACCCGCTCCGCACTGGCGATCTCAGGTGCCTAAATGTTATATTTTAAGCGACCCCTCAGGCAATCAGCCCTCTCCGGCTGGTAAAATAAAATTAAACTTTACAGATATAATAATAACACAGGGTGCTTCGAGCAAAAACAACACAACGTTAACACTTATATGGGACTCTCGTCGTTTTTTAATGCAAAAAGTCAACGTATGTGAACGCGATAACGAATTTATGGTTAATAGCTATCCGCATCTCTTGCAAATTCTCAGAAGTGTTTAAAACAATGTTTTGAGAAGCACCCTGTATATATTTTATTAATAGTTAATATTGACAGAGGTGAGTGGGGAGGTGTTAGAGGTTCATTAATGTAGGGGGGGGGGGTCACAAGACATCTGGACAGCTTTGTGTACAGCGACTCTGCGGGACTTCTTTTGCACCGTACGCGGTCAGCCGTGAAAATCTCTGGGTCTGTGGGTTTCTATCGATCTGTGTAGGTCTACGTGGGTCTCTGTGGGTCTGGGTGTCTCTATGGGTCTCTGTGGGTCTGGGTGTCTCTATGGGTCTCTATGGGTCTGGGTGTCTCTATGGGTCTGGGTGTCTCTATGGGTCTGGGTGTCTCTGTGGGTCTCTGTGGGTCTGGGTGTCTCTATGGGTCTCTATGGGTCTGGGTGTCTCTATGGGTCTCTATGGGTCTTGGTGTCTCTATGGGTCTGGGTGTCTCTATGGGTCTGAGTGTCTCTGTGGGTCTGGGTGTCTCTGTGGGTCTGGGTGTCTCCATGGGGCTCTGTGGGTCTGGGTGTCTCTATGGGTCTGGGTGTCTCTATGGGTCTGGGTGTCTCTATGGGTCTCTGTGGGTCTGGGTGTCTCTATGGGTCTGGGTGTCTCTATGGGTCTCTGTGGGTCCGGGTGTCTCTATGGGGCTGGGTATCTATGGGTCTCTATGGGTCTCTGGGTGTCTCTATGGGTCTGGGTGTCTCTATGGGTCTGGGTGTCTCTATGAGTCTCTATGGGTCTGGGTGTCTCTAGGTCTGGGTGTCTCTATGGGTCTCTGTGGGTCTGGGTGTCTCTATGGGTCTGGGTGTCTCTATGGGTCAGGGTGTCTCTATGGGTCTGGGTGTCTCTATGGGTCTGGGTGTCTCTATGGGTCTGGGTGTCTCTATGGGTCTCTGTGGGTCTGGGTGTCTCTATGGGTCTGGGTATCTATGGGTCTGGGTGTCTCTATGGGTCTGGGTGTCTCTATGGGTCTCTGTGGGTCTGGGTGTCTCTATGGGTCTGGGTATCTATGGGTCTGGGTGTCTCTATGGGTCTGGGTGTCTCTATGGGTCTCTGTGGGTCAGGGCGTCTCTATGGGTCTGGGTATCTATGGGTCTGGGTGTCTCTATGGGCCTCTGTGGGTCTGGGTGTCTCTATGGGTCTGGGTGTCTCTATGGGTCTGTGGGTCTGGGTGTCTCTATGGGTCTGGGTGTCTCTATGGGCCTCTGTGGGTCTGGGTGTCTCTGTGGGTCTCTGTGGGTCTGGGTGTCTCTGGGTCTGGGTGTCTCTATGGGTCTCTATGGGTCTGGGTGTCTCTATGGGCCTCTGTGGGTCTGGGTGTCTCTGTGGGTCTGGGTGTCTCTGTGGGTCTGGGTGTCTCTGACTCTTTATGGGTCTGGGTGTCTCTATGGGCCTCTGTAGGTCTGGGTGTCTCTGTGGGTCTGGGTGTCTCTATGGGTCTGGGTGTCTCTGTGGGTCTGGGTGTCTCTTTGGGTCTGGGTGTCTCTGTGGGTCTGAGTGTCTCTATGGGTCTGGGTGTCTCTGAGTCTTTATGGGTCTGGGTGTCTCTGTGGGTCTGGGTGTCTCTGTGGGTCTGGGTGTCTCTGAGTCTTTATGGGTCTGGGTGTCTCTATGGGCCTCTGTAGGTCTGGGTGTCTCTGTGGGTCTGGGTGTCTCTATGGGCCTCTGTAGGTCTGGGTGTCTCTGTGGGTCTGGGTGTCTCTATGGGTCTGGGTGTCTCTATGGGCCTCTGTGGGTCTGGGTGTCTCTGTGGGTCTCTGGGTCTGGGTGTCTCTGTGGGTCTGGGTGTCTCTATGGGCCTCTGTGGGTCTGGGTGTCTTTGTGGGTCTGGGTGTCTCTATGGGTCTGGGTGTCTCTGTGGGTCTCTGGGTCTGGGTGTCTCTGTGGGTCTGGGTGTCTCTATGGGCCTCTGTAGGTCTGGGTGTCTCTGTGGGTCTGGGTGTCTCTATGGGTCTGGGTGTCTCTATGGGCCTCTGTGGGTCTGGGTGTCTCTGTGGGTCTGGGTGTCTCCACCAGGCCCCCCACCAGGCCCCCCCCCCCCACCACAAGATTATCACGGCCGGTGCGAAAGAATATCCACGTGCAACCCCCGTTGGCACGAGTCGACCCCGTCTCCTCCCCGTGTCTCCCTCTCCATGACCCCCATCCCCCACCGCCTCTCCCTCCAGGCCGCGCGTCTGCCACGCTGCACGTGGCACGCCAGTGCCACCAAGGCACCGGCGTGCAGGGCGCCAACTTCCACAAGAAGTACGGCTTCCTGCTGCTGGGCAGCGGCGCTGCCTTCTGCTCCGCCGTCTGGTTTTACGTGAGGCGCGCACGCACACACGCTACGTACACACACTACACACACACACTACACACACTACACTACATTCACACACTACACACACACCACACACGCGCTGCGCTACATGTATAGACACACTACACACTACACTACACATATACTACACTACACACACTACACACACACTACACACACACACTATGTACACACACTACACACACGCTGCGCTACATGTATAGACACACCACGCACACACTACGTACACACACTACACTACACACACACTACACACACACTACGTACACACACTACACACACGCTGCGCTACATGTATAGACACACCACGCACACACTACGTACACACACTACACTACACACTACACTACACATATACTACGTACACACACTACACACACACTACACACACACACTATGTACACACACCACACGCACACGCGCTGCGCTACATGTATAGACACACCACACACACACTACACACACACTCACACTACACTACACATATACTACACTACACATATACTACACCACACACACACTACGTACACACTACGTACACACACTACACACACACTACGTACACACACCACACGCACACGCTGCGCTACATGTATAGACACACCACACACGCTACACACTACATTCACACACTACACACACACTACACACACACTACACACACACTACACACACACTACACACTACACACACACCACACGCACACGCTGCGCTACATGTATAGACACACCACACACACTACGTACACACACACTACACACACACTACACTACACACACACTACACTAGACACACACTACACACACACTACGTACACACACTACGTACACACACTACACACACGCTGCGCTACATGTATAGACACACCACACACACACTACACACTACACTACACACTACACTACACATATACTACACTACACACACTACACACACACTACACACACACACTACGTACACACACTACACACGCGCTGCGCTACATGTATAGACACACCACACACACACTACGTACACACTCACTACACTACACACACACTGCACACACACACACTACGTACACACACTACACACACACTACACACACTACGTACACACTACGTACACACACTACACACACGCTGCGCTACATGTATAGACACACCACACACACACTACGTACACACTCACTACACTACACACACACTGCACACACACACACTACGTACACACACTACACACACACTACGTACACACTACGTACACACACTACACACACGCTGCGCTACATGTATAGACACACCACACACACTACACTACGTACACACACACTACACTACACATATACTACACTTACACACACACTACACTACACACACTACACACACACTACACACACTACGTACACACTACGTACACACACTACACACACGCTGCGCTACATGTATAGACACACCACGCACACACTACACTACACACACTACACTACACACACACTACACTACACACACTACACACACACTACACACACACACTATGTACACACACCACACGCACACACTGCGCTACATGTATAGACACACCACACACACACTACACTACACACACTACACACACACTAGACTACACACACTACACACACACACTATGTACACACACCACACGCACACACTGCGCTACATGTATAGACACACCACACACGCTATACACTACATTCACACACACTACACACACACTACACACACACTACACACACACTACACACGCTGCGCTACATGTATAGACACACCACACACACACTACACTACACACACACACTATGTACACACACTACGTACACACTACGTACACACACTACGTACACACGCACACACTGCGCTACATATATAGACACACCACACACGCTACACACTACATTCACTCACACTACACTACATACACACTACACACACACTACACTACATACACACTACACACACACACTACGTACACACACACACCACACCACATGCACACACTGCGCTACATATATAGACACACCACACACACACTACACTACATTCACACACTACACACACACTACGTACACACTACGTACACACTACACACACACTACACTACATTCACACACACACTACACACACACTACGTACACACTATGTACACACACCACACGCACACACTGCGCTACATATATAGACACACCACACACACACTACACTACACACTACACTACACACACACTACACACACACTACACACACACTACACACACACTACGTACACACACCACACGCACACACTGCGCTACATATATAGACACACCACACACACTACACCACACACTACACACACACACCCACCACACGCACACACTGCGCTACATGTATAGACACACTACACACACACTACGTACACACACACACCATGCACACACACTACACTACATTTACACACACTACATTACTCACACACTACACACACTACATTCACACACTACACACACACACACTACATTCACACACACTACACTACATACTCACACACTACACACACACTACGTACACACACACACACACCTGTACAGATGTGGTGGTCACCCTGTACACACGCACACACTACACGGTACTTACCACAACGGGGGTCATTGGTATCCCTGATCAAGACCCCCCCCCCCGCCTGAGGGGGTGGAGGCTGTGAAGTGTACGCGTGTGTGTGTGTGCGTGTGTGCGTGTGTGCGTGTGTGTGTGGGATCGCCCAGAACCCTGGTCCGAGACCAGAGAGTGGGATCGAACAAACACAGAATGTTTGGGCTATCCTGTGGCCAGCATCTCTCCCGAGGGCCGGGGGAAATCGTACGAAAGGCGGGCCTCCTATGAGCAAAGCGGGTAGTCGTTCTCACGCCGAAGCCGGGGGGGCCCCCTCAGCCCGACCTCCTTCCCGGGGGGCAGCGTCTGGACGGGCCCAGTGGTCACGTGACCCAGCGGTGCCGGCGGCCGGTCAGCCTCCGCTGGGTCTCCAGCCAAGCCGGGGTGGGGGGGGGCCAACGGCCGGGGTACGGTAGCCCGGAGGCTGTGCCTCCCCCCTCGTGTTGCTCGGGCAGATGGCGGGGGGCCATTACCCCCTTCGCAGTGAGGGACCTAGTGAATCGTGAATCGTGATGAGGTGTAAATTTTAAAGGATTTTGCTTGCCACCACGACTCCATCTACGTCTACTACTACTACTACTACCACACACACACACGCGCCGGTGTGAGCTTCGTCTCTCTTACCCTTGGTCCTTTCGGCAAAGCCACCGCGTAGAAGGGAAGCGATAAAATAACGAAACGGTAAAATCCTCGCGACGTTCCGACCGCAGCAAGGGGGCAGTCGCCTTCATCGGGCGCGAAAAGCACGGCGAGACGCTGGTGTGTTTTTTCTCTCTCTATCTTTCTTTCTCTCTCTCGCTCGCTCGCTGTGCTTTTCGCAACTGATGACGGCAGTTGCCCGTGCCGCGGTCGAAACGTCGGGAGGAAATTTTTTATCGTTTTATATTCGGCGGCGGCGACAGCGGCGGCTTTACCCAAAGGAGTGTGAATCGCCTGCAGGTAGCGCGAAAGCTTTACATCGGAATCGGTCTCCCTTGTCGCCCCCCTTCCCTCCCCCCTGCCTGCCCAGGCCTGCACTCAGACCGGAATCTCGTGGAACCTGTCCCCCATCGGCAAGGTCACGCCCAAGGAGTGGAGGCAGTGAAAAAGGGGGGGAGGGAGGTTTGAAGGGGTGGGTGTTGTTGTTGTTGTGGGTGGGTGGGTGGGAGGTCCAATGGACTCTCCCAACTCGGCTCTTGACCAATCACCCTCCTTCCCGTTCAATCCTCCATACCCCCCCTCCTCGCCCGCCACCGCCACTCAAATGGTTTCTTCCACACAGAGACCCCAGTGGAGTCTCCCAAATCGGCTGTTAACCAATCACCCTCCTTCCCGTTCAACCCCGCCACCGCCACTCAAATGGTTTCTTCCACACAGAGACCCCAGTGGAGTCTCCCAACTCGGCTCTTAACCAATCACCCTCCTTCCCGTTCAATCCTCCATACCCCCCCCGCCACCGCTACTCAAATGGTTTCTTCCACACAGAGACCCCAGTGGAGTCTCCCAAATCGGCTGTTAACCAATCACCCTCCTTCCCGTTCAACCCTGCCACCGCCACTCAAATGGTTTCTTCCACACAGAGACACCAGTGGAGTCTCCCAAATCGGCTCTTGACCAATCACCCTCCTTCCCACTCAATCCCCCACCACCACCACTACTCAAATGGTTTCTTCCACACAGAGACCCCAGTGGAGTCTCCCAACTCGGCTCTTAACCAATCACCCTCCTTCCCACTCAATCCCCCCCCGCCACCGCTACTCAAATGGTTTCTTCCACACAGAGACCCCAGTGGACTCTCCCAACTTGGCTCTTAACCAATCACTCTCCTTCCCGTTCAATCCTCCATACCCCCAGCCACCACCACTCAAATGGTTTCTTCCACACAGAGACCCCAGTGGACTCTCCCAACTCGGCTCTTGACCAATCACCCTCCTTCCCACTCAATCCCCCCCCACCACCGCCACTCAAATGGTTTCTTCCACACAGATTCCCTCCCCCCCGCCATGTGGACGATGATGTGAATGGTTTGCCCCACCGTACCCCCCCACCGTAGCCCTGTGGCTAACTTGGTTCGGTCCGAGCCCCGACCCTTAAACTGTGTGTGTGCACGTGACCCGCTCACGTGACGTCCAATTTAAATAAAAGGTGTATACATAATTACATAACTCCGCCTCATGTTGGAGTCTGTGTGTGAGTGTGTGCGAGTCTGTGTGTGTGTGAATCTGTGTGTGAGTCTGTGTGTGTGTGAGTCTGTGCGCGTGTGTGTGAGTCTGCGTGTGTGTGAGTCTGTGTGTCTGTGAGTCTGTGTGTGAGTCTGTGCGTCTGTGCGTCTGTGAGTCTGCGTCTGTGAGTGTGTGTGAGTCTGCGCGTGTGTGAGTCTGCGTGTGTGAGTCTGCGTCTGTGTGAGTCTGCGCGTGTGTCAGTCTGCGCGTGAGTGTGTGAGTCTGCGTGTGTGAGTGCGTGTGTGTGAGTCTGCGTGTGTGAGTGCGTGTGTGTGAGTCTGCGCGTGTGTGAGTCTGCGCGTGTGTCAGTCTGCGCGTGTGTGAGTCTGCGCGTGTGTGAGTGTGAGTGTGTGAGTCTGTGCGTGTGTAAGTCTGCGCGTGTGAGGGAGGGCGGAGGAGCGACGCTCACAACAACGGAGGGCGGAGCGCCGGGTGACTAAATATTTTAATCGCGCTTTGTGCCGGAGATATCAGCCTGAGCTCGTATAACCGCGGTGGCTGGCACGAGGTTTACCAGCTCGAAAATATGTAACTTGGGCTTACGCCCATTGGCACAATCGGGGACACAGGTGGTGCATCAGCCAGTCGTCTCAGTCGACCCATGGCACTTGCTGGGTCTGTCCCGTGACCTGTACCTAGCCTGGCACCAGCAGTCGACCCATGGCACCTGCTGGGTCTGTCCCGTGACCTGTACCTAGCCTGGCACCAGCAGTCGACCCATGGCACCTGCTGGGTCTGTCCCGTGACCTGTACCTAGCCTGGCACCAGCAGTCGACCCATGGCACCTGCTGGGTCTGTCCCGTGACCTGCTGGCGGGCGTTTGACCCTTCACTTGTCTTGGGGGAGCGGTGGTGCAGTGGTTAGCGCACTGTGTGTGTGTCTTGGGGGAGTGGTGATGCAGTGGTTAGCGCACTGTGTGTGTCTTAGGGGAGCGGTGGTGCAGTGGTTAGCGCACTGTGTGTTTTGGGGGAGCGGTGGTGCAGTGGTTATCGCACTGTGTGTGAGTCTTGGGGGAGTGGTGGTGCAGTGGTTAGCGCACTGTGTGTAGGGAGCGGTGGTGCAGTGGTTAGCGCACTGTGTGTGTGTCTTGGGGGAGTGGTGGTGCAGTGGTTAGCGCACTGTGTGAGTGTCTTGGGGGAGTGGTGGTGCAGCGGATGTGAATGACGTCACCTTTCCGAAGGCTCAGATGACGTCACCGCACCGGAGGCTCCAGTGACGTCCCGCACCGAAGGCTCCGGTGACGTCACCGCACCCCAGGAGCGGCAGGGACGGTAGATGGGGGTCACAACGACGTCAGAGGCCACTCACGGGGTGATGATGGTGGTGGTGATGGTGGTGGTGGTGATGGTGGTGTTGGTGGTGATGGTGGTGGTGATGATGGTGGTGATGGTGGTGGTGATGGTGGTGGTGGTGATGATGGTGGTGATGGTGGTGATGGTGGTGGTGGTGATGGTGGTGGTGGTGATGGTGGTGTTGGTGGTGATGGTGGTGGTGGTGGTGATGATGGTGGTGATGGTGGTGGTGATGGTGGTGATGGTGGTGGTGGTGATGGTGGTGTTGGTGGTGATGGTGGTGGTGATGGTGGTGGTGGTGGTGATGATGGTGGTGATGGTGGTGATGGTGGTGTTGGCGGTGATGGTGGTGGTGGTGATGATGATGGTGATGGTGGTGGTGATGGTGGTGGTGATGGTGGTGGTGATGGTGGTGTTGATGATGATGGTGGTGCTGATGATGGTGGTGATGATGGTGGTGATGATGGTGATGATGATGATGATGGTGGTGATGGTGATGATGGTGATGATGGTGGTGGTGGTGGTGATGATGGTGGTGATGGTGGTGGTGATGATGGTGGTGGTGGTGATGATGGTGGTGGTGGTGATGATGGTGGTGGTGGTGGTGATGGTGGTGGTGATGGTGGTGGTGATGGTGGTGGTGGTGATGGTGGTGGTGATGGTGGTGTTGATGATGATGGTGGTGCTGATGATGGTGGTGATGGTGGTGATGATGGTGATGATGATGATGGTGATGATGGTGGTGTTGGTGATGGTGGTGGTGGTGTTGATGGTGGTGGTGATGATGATGGTGGTGGTGGTGGTGGTGATGATGATGGTGGTGGTGGTGGTGGTGATGATGGTGGTGGTGATGGTGGTGATGATGGTGGTGGTGGTGATGATGATGATGGTGGTGGTGGTGGTGATGATGGTGGTGGTAGTGATGATGATGGTGGTTTTGATGGTGATGGTGGTTTTGATGGTGGTGTTGATGGTGGTGGTGATGGTGGTGGTGGTGATGGTGGTGGTGGTGGTGGTGATGATGATGGTGGTGGTGATGATGATGGTGATGGTGGTTTTGATGGTGGTTTTGATGGTGGTGTTGATGGTGGTGATGGTGGTGGCGATGGTGGTGGTGATGATGGTGGTGGTGATGGTGGTGATGATGGTGGTGGTGGTGATGATGCTGATGGTGGTGGTGGTGATCATGGTAGTGGTGGTAGTGATGATGATGGTGGTTTTGATGGTGATGGTGGTTTTGATGGTGGTGGTGATGGTGGTGGTGGTGATGATGATGGTGGTGGTGGTGGTGATGATGATGGTGATGGTGGTTTTGATGGTGGTTTTGATGGTGGTGTTGATGGTGGTGATGGTGGTGGTGGTGATGATGGTGATGGTGGTTTTGATGGTGATGGTGGTGTTGATGATGGTGGTGGTGGTGATGATGGTGGTGGTGATGATGGTGTTGATGGTGGTGGTGGTGATGGTGGTGTTGATGGTGGTGATGGTGGTGTTGATGGTGGTGGTGGTGTTGGTGGTGTTGATGGTGGTGGTGATGGTGATGGTGGTGTTGATGGTGGTGGTGATGGTGTGGTGGTGATGTTGGGGATGTTGCTGATGATGATGTTGCTGGTGATGACGGTGATGATGTTGCTGCTGATGATGATGATGTTGCTGCTGATGATGATGATGTTGCTGATGGTGTTGGTGATGATGTTGGTGATGATGATGGTGATGATGTTGCTGGTGATGATGTTGGTGGTGATGATGATGGTGTTGGTGATTTGTGGTTCGCCAATCACTGAAACAAAGGCAAAGGTCCCCCACTTCCTCCACCCAGGTAGCCTCCACGAGGCTGTAGGGGCAAGTGCAGTAAACAACAACATCAACACAAGTACAGTAAATAACATCAACACAAGTGCAGTAAACAACAACATCATCACAAGTACAGTAAACAACAACATCAACAACAACAAGTGTAGTAAACAACAACAACATCAACACAAGTACAGTAAACAACAACATCAACACAAGTACAGTAAACAACAACATCAACAACAACAAGTGTAGTAAACAACAACAACATCAACACAAGTACAGTAAACAACAACATCATCACAAGTACAGTAAACAACAACATCAACACAAGTACAGTAAACAACAACAACATCAACACAAGTACAGTAAACAACAACATCAACACAAGTACAGTAAACAACAACAACATCAACACAAGTACAGTAAACAACATCAACACAAGTACAGTAAACAACATCAACACAAGTACAGTAAACAACATCAACACAAGTACAGTAAACAACAACATCAACACAAGTACAGTAAACAACATCAACACAAGTGCAGTAAACATCAACAACAACATCAACACAAGTACAGTAAACAACAACAACAAGTACAGTAAACAACAACATCAACAACATCAACACAAGTACAGTAAACAACAACAACATCAACACAAGTACAGTAAACAACATCAACACAAGTACAGTAAACAACAACATCAACACAAGTACAGTAAACAACAACATCAACACAAGTACAGTAAACAACATCAACACAAGTACAGTAAACAACATCAACACAAGTACAGTAAACAACATCAACACAAGTACAGTAAACAACAACATCAACACAAGTACAGTAAACAACATCAACACAAGTGCAGTAAACATCAACAACAACATCAACACAAGTACAGTAAACAACAACAACACAAGTACAGTAAACAACATCAACACAAGTGCAGTAAACATCAACAACAACATCAACACAAGTACAGTAAACATCAACAACATCAACACAAGTACAGTAAACAACAACATCAACACAAGTACAGTTAACAACAACATCAACACAAGTACAGTAAACAACATCAACAACAACATCAACACAAATACAGTAAACAACAACATCAACACAAGTACAGTAAACAACAACAACAACAACATCAACACAAGTACAGTAAACAGCAACAACATCATCACAAGTACAGTAAACAACATCAACACAAGTACAGTAAACATCAACAACATCAACAAGTACAGTAAACAACAACATCAACACAAGTACAGTAAACAACATCAACACAAGTGCAGTAAACATCAACAACAACATCAACACAAGTACAGTAAACAACAACATCAACACAAGTACAGTAAACAACATTAACACAAATACAGTAAACAACATTAACACAAATACAGTAAACAACAACAACATCAACACAAGTACAGTAAACAACAACATAAGTACAGTAAACAACAACAACATCAACACAAGTACAGTAAACAACAACATCAACACAAGTACAGTAAACATCAACAACATAAGTACAGTAAACAACAACATCAACAACATCAACACAAGTACAGTAAACATCAACAACATAAGTACAGTAAACAACAACATCAACATCAACACAAGTACAGTAAACAACATTAACACAAATACAGTAAACAACATCAACAACATCAACACAAGTACAGTAAACATCAACAACATCAACACAAGTACAGTAAACATCAACAACATCAACACAAGTACAGTAAACATCAACAACAACACAAGTACAGTGAACAACAACATCAACACAAGTACAGTAAACATCAACAACATCAACACAAGTACAGTAAACATCAACAACAACACAAG